ACTTTTCCAGAACTTTCTTATGACTTTGTTTAATTCTTGATAAAAATGACTCACAGTGTATTACACAGAAAGAAGAAAGAATTTTTTGTGAAGGAATTGTAAGAATATTGTAAGATTATGTACGAATTTTTAATTTAGAACGACATTGATATTATTGTATGATGGCATTGAAAATGACTCAATTGGAGTTGAAACGTTTGTTTTATTTTATTATATTTTAATTGTTTTGTATTAAGTTTGCTTATCTAAATTATAATTTTTTTTTTATATACGTCATTGGCTCTTTGCCCTTCTTTTATACTACCTTTTGCTTATTAGTACAGAGCCTTTTTTATTACTTTTAATAAATTAGAAGCTAGAAATTGATTAATCACAGTCGAATAAGAAGAATACTTGTAATTCTAATTTATTCTTAATAGATTATCATAGAAAGCCTCTAAGTCTTAACCAGATTTAACTTAAGTAGGTGACTACGATTTTTCGAATCTTTATGAATCGTTAATTATATATACATGGCGTCACGAATAGATCTGTTCGCATTGTTTGCACTTTTGGAACTCGATATCTTCGCTTTCTCTCTTTTCAAGGCAAAATGTGTATTTATCTCATTTTAAGTGTAAAAATATTTGGGGATTTCATGCAATGTGACTAGACCTATTGCCTTATTATTGTACGCATATTTGAGAAGAGAAAAAATGAGAATGCATGAAAAATGTGCTAAGACATTCGTGACTGTAGCTGTCATCCATTGCACGCATCATGTACTGTTTTATTCTTGTTTAACACTGTGAACAATGATAAAATGATATCTTATATGCATGCAATGAAATGAAAGACTTCAGTAAATATAGAGAGCTTTCCAACAAGAGACACAGATGACACAGTGTAACATGAATCATTACATCTCTGTTGTTTGCCAACGTTAAACAAAGACGAAATGATCACTGTTACGTGTCGTTTATTGGTGTTCGAGAGCGAGTTAGAGCGAGAGCGATGGCGAGAAAATTTCGAATGAGGCGGCGTTTCGGCTGAATTTCGCTTTACGCGAATTCTCAATTGCGAATCAAACGCGGCGATTTTCTGGCGGCGGAGCGTCTCCTAGGTGGTTGCACTTGTAGCGAAGCGTTGACTCGAGAACAGCGAAGAAGAAGAGAGTCATTGCTTCTCGGTTTTGCCTTTTATGCTCTTTTAAGAACAAAGGCTTCCCTTTGCATTCGCCTATGAGATTCTCGCAAAATTGAAAATTTTATGGTGACCCTCTTCGGGTGGCGTTTGGCAATTTCGAGCGCGATGGCCAAGCGGTACGCTATTGCCATGCGCGTCCGCTAAATCTGGATTCTTGATTGGGATGTACGCCTATTACGCGTTTTGCGTCACGCGATCGCGCGTGCGCTGCGACCGATCTAAGTTGGTTCGCCGTTATAGCGGTTGAGATCTGCGTACGTGCGACGTGCGTCTTAGCTTATTGTTTTTCGACTTTATTGATGAGGTGATGGCCAAGTTTATGTTTTGGAAACCTCTAAGGACGCTTGGAATCCTTCTAAAAGTTTCCGATCCGCATGTCGCACGTACACCAAATCTGCAAAAACTGTCCGTGTTAGCTGTATCTCGAACAATTGGAAAGCTCTCATTTAATTACCACATAAATTACAATTTATTAAAGATTTTAAAGGATAAAATGAAGCAAATAATATATAATAATTACCATGTAATAATTACGCCTTTTACTAATAAACACACAATAATAACGCAACAATGCAAATATGATTGGCAATGAAGAAATAAAACTTACTACTTAATTTTTTCCTTCTTTCGCCGTATAAGAAAGAATCTATAAATCTGGGGACACGTAGTGTTTCAGATTAACACAATCTTCTTTTTTAATGAATGGCTCCTACCTTCTTAAATTGGATGGAGCAATATAGACAGATCACATCTTATTGCTAGAATACTAGCACAAGCAAATAGTTCACTGCTCTGCTCACTGCTTCGGTGTACCAACAAGTGCGCGTAGTAATAAACGAGGTGCGCGTAGTAATACACAACTCGCGACGGCTGCGATGCGTGACATCCAATCAATGTATTGGTCCTTGAATGTGTAAGAGTGCTGTCCACAAGACGTGTATTTGCATATCATCAGAATCATTCTCTTAGATCTGCTTATAAAATTTGCAAACAGATCTAAGAGAATGATTGTGATTGGCGATACGCAAATACGCTTACGATCATGGTGGAAGGGATAACATGATGTGCTCGGTTTGCATCTCTCTCTAAATTTCCGCCATCTCTGTCTATAAATGTCACATAAGATTCAAAAGCTGCTAACAATAAAACGCGAAACATGGGGCGATATTCATAGTCTGTTTTTATTCTAAAACTGTCTTAAATAATGTCTTAAGATGCTGATACAATCCTCGGATTGACTTATGACATCTTAAAACTGTACTAATAAGATAGTCTTAAATGTAAGAATCGATACCGGTCTGTTTCGTCAAATATAAAATGTATTCTCTTTCTATAGAAAGAGAAACATAAAGTGTGTTAAACAAGGAAAGATTCAGTACCAATTTCACGAAACCGGCCGGTATTCATAATTGATTCTTACATTTAAGCTGTCTTATTAGTACAGTTTTAAGATGTCATAAGTTAATCCGAGGACTGTATTAGCATAATATTAGTCTTAAGACATTATTTAAGTCAGTTTTAAAATAAAAATAAATTATGAATATTGCCCCATGTTTCGCGTTTCACAGTTGGCAGCCTTTGAATCTTATGCGACATTTGTAGACAGAAACGGCGGAGATTTAGAGAGAGATGCTTGCAAACTGAGCACATCCATGTTATCCCTTCCACCATGCGCGCAATCCGCTGCATAAGACATGGGGCTGAAATCAAACGCAGCCAAAACTTTAGGGCCGCACAGTACCTATCATTATCGTAGTACCTTATATCGTCTTATGTCATTCGTAAAACATAATTCTAATAAGGTTGCGTTAACAACTCTCATGGAATCATTTCATCTTTGTTGTTCATTAAATGTTAAACAAGAACAAATGATGCTTGTGAGCCTTAAATGGAACGCAGCTTAAAAGTTTCTTTTATTCTGTATTGCCAGATGGCCACAGCCAAAACCCCCCACAAGCAACGCCAATTCCCCATAGAACAAGAAACCTTCTAAAAACTTCAAATTTTTTTTAGCAAGTTTCAAGCGAGTTTTTAGATCCAATGAATATTGTCGGTGTTGGCGATCTTGCTGCGTGTAGGATGAATTTATGGTGGCACGGCCATGCGATCACCGTTCCAAGCGTTCCTGCGGTATGATTGCTTCGAGGACACTTGGTCGAGAAAAATGAGATTTTCCCTGCTTTCCAAACTTTATTTAAACAGACCTCAAATGCGGGCGAACGTGTTTCACAGTAGATGCGGAAAGGATCTCAACGGTGCGGTAGCGCGATAAAAACTTATTCAGTGCGAGGCGAGACACGTGCGGTCGACGCACGAGACAATCAGAGCGGCCATGATCTGAATGTGTCGGATCGATTACGCGCGATGCATGCGTCGCTTAACAATCGACATCTCGAGGATTGATCGATTCTTTATCGGGCGATGTGACTAGACGCCATAAACGATAAGGGTACCGAACAGTCGGCACTAAAAAAAAAGGAAAAGAATTAATTTTAAATTGAACGTATTATTAGGTGTACAAATAAGTTTCCGCCGTTTGACAAAGGACTGCGCCAACAAGCTATGGTTAAAATTGTCTGATGTAAAATATTATATCGTAAGGTTGGACATCTGTCAACAACATAATCTTGAAATACTAGCGATTTTGTATCAGCATCATATATTTTTTTGTGCGAAAATGCCGAGTTTTGAGTCGAATAAGCGTCATTTGCGGGAACTTTTGATTTACTTCTTTAATTTGAAGAAATCTGCAGTTGAGGCTCATCGATTGCTTGTAGAAGCATATGGTGAGACTGCCTTAAGTGAGAGAAGTTGTCGTGAATGGTTTCAAAAATTTAAGAACGGTGAATTTGACGTCGAAGACAAAGAACGTAGCGGAAGGCCGAAAGTGTACGAAGACGCGGAATTGGAAGTATTATTGAATGAAGATTCGTCGTCCAAACGCAAAAAGTAATGGCTAGCGATGGACAATACTTTTAATAAAACATTATGTATCGTTCTTTCACAATAAATGTTTAATTTTTTATTAAAAACGGCGGAAACTTATTTGTACACCTAATACAAGTTATTACAACGTTAATATATTATATCTTATATCTTATACTGTGAGCGTTATTCATTAGCGCGTGAGCGTCTAAATCACAGGTAAAGAAAAGTGTAAAAGAAACATTTACTATGGCTGTGTTTCAAAATTCACTGCCAGCACTGAAAATTTATAGTTTATGTTATGTAACTATACAGTTTTAGCACTAGTATTGAATTTCCTATATTTATGTGTATACATTACGTGTAACAGACCTCTTCCATTATTCTGCAAATGTTTCCAACACATCTTCAACAAAATTAGAAGAATACATATTTTCGGAATTAAATTTTCGAATCATTTCTTTTGAAGGTGCAAAATTTATACATCCATCCGGAAGATTGTCCCTTAAATGTAAAATTGTTTTGGTTTTTATGAACATTTTGTTTCTTAATTTATCTTTTACAATATTTATGATCAAGAACATTCTTTCATCGCTCGCATTAGAACATGGTAAACTTAAAATAGCTAAAATATATAATTTACAGATATGTCCATATCGCTATTGCCCACTTGCATTGAGTATTTCATTAATATCAATCCAATAATCTTTCGTAGAGATGAACGAACTGTGGTTGTATGTAAAAGATTTCATTCCTGAATCGTTTCATTAATATCTACACAACATGTTTAAACTGAGTAGCAATTTTTAAAATATCTAATTTTATTTGGCTTGTAGCCAACTGCGGAGAAACTGTACTCATACTGTTTAAAACGTCCATGTTTTCGAGTAATCGCTATTGTAATTGACTACATAATTCTGTTAAAAAATCTTTACATCTGTGCATAATATTCTTAACATTTTGCGGTGGTCTGCCTGCGCAAGTAAGATTGAATTCATATCCTAAATTTAAGCAGTTCGTTGACATTAAATATTGTCGTAATTCAAAATGCTCCAAATTCTGTCTCCTTGTTTTTTTTTTCAAATGCTGTGGTATTACGATTTTTTGTAGTAAAGAGTACAGCATTAAATCGTCAAACAATTTAAGAGGATCGACGTTGTCGGACTGGAACAATTTATTTATTGCAGTAACTTTTGAGAGTATTGAGGATAAAAAACTAAATAAATTCTTTTCATCATGGTACATATCATAAAGAAGTTCTGCAGTGTAGCATCGGTCCTTTTCCTTAGCCAATTCAAAGTGGAGTTTTAGTGCGTCATATTGGTGAAGTATAGCTTTTATTGCTGCATGTCGAGCCAGCCAGCCTTGTACCAGATAATTTGGCAATTTTTTTGGGATCATTATCATTATTTATCAAACAGTAAATAATTTTTGTAGTCAATCTGCTTCTTTGTACTATAAAAGAACCAATTATGACTTTCGCGCATCATGAAGTCAAGATTTTTCGGCAGCACTCGACATGCATACTCTGTAGCTAAATGATAAGAATGGCACAAACATTTAATCGTGATTAAACTCGGGACGTTTAATTTTAATTTTGAGCAGAACGATTTATGTTGCCTGATCATGACATTTGCTCCATCGACACCTATGAGGTTATCTAATTGAAAACCATCAATTGTTATTTGATCTGTAAAAATTTTATACAAACTTTCTGCATCCGCCGCATCAATCTCGACAAGTCTGTCGTTACAAAATGCCGTTAAAATTTTGCTCTTTTTGGAACTAAAATAACGCAGCATTATACATAATACTTTTTTTCAATAGTTTTTATCAATAGTAGTATTTTCATCGATAATAACAGAGTAATATGAATTGCCGATATCGTTGATTAATCCTTTAGCATACCCAGATATTTTTTAGCTACAACGTTCATTATGAGAGATATGCATTTTGTACGATGCAATTGTATATCCTGTAATAATTCTGACTTAGGATCTAAATTTTTAACTAGAGTTCCTAAATGGTCGATACTATTGAGCGAGCAATGTTCCGCGATGAATGCTGCAAGCTTTAATTCGGCAATTTTTCTTTCGTTATTGATGGATAATTTTACAAAATTCAATTTGTAAAATTTAATTTTTGGAGCTACATTAATTTCCTTATCTCTCTTGTCTCATTTTTCGTGCTCATGTGAATCAACAAATCCTTTTTATGGGCTATGATTTCAGACTTGCAATACATAAATCAAGCCTTGGACGGATCATATGATGAGACACATAATCATCCTAAGAAATAAATGTTATTTTATATACAAAGAAAAAATTCATACATTTATGAAATAATTATATATGTTAACGCAGTAACATATTTCATCGTTAAATTTAGCTATTTAAGGATTGCATGGGAAGGCCGATATCTCATTTGTGCGTTTTTGTTGTATAATAATTTTTTTAAGACAAAGAGATCCGAGAACTTCTCTGTCCTGTATACATTTGTCATTTGATAAAAATGCACAAATGAAATAGTATCCAAATAGGTCGACTGCGGCTGGTCTTGTAAAACTCAAAGGGGAGGAGAGTATTAATATGCATTATATGTAATTGTAATGTACAAAATCCTTAAAATTTCTCACAACTAAACGTGAAAGACCTTTCAAAGATGCGTCTAACTCCCACTTTTTCCTGTATTTTTGTGAATAATTTCGCTTTTCTTCATGTTTTGACATTTCAAAATGTAAATGCCAATCTTCGATCTTTTCCACGATGTTTTTTTTTGTAAACACTTGCTGAATAAAGTATGTTATTTATCACCTTAGAAAATTGTTTAATTCAAGAAAACTTTCAGCCATTGTGATTGTTGCGAAATCGTGAAAATGAATTTAAAACAATTGACGAATGTAGAGGCGCGAAAAAAAAATTATGCCGTGTTTCCATGGAACTGCACGAATCAGCATAGACTTTTGGATAAGTCCGCAAACAATAGTAGCAAGACAGAAGCCTGAAAGCGGACATGCTCGCGATATAACTTATTTTAAAGCGCCTCTATGTCTACAAAATTGTGGACATTGAATTATGTAGCCAATGTCCATGATCCAGTAGGTAATAACTTTGTGGTTCTCTTTCATGTTACCGTTTAGGATAGACAATCAAAATCTGATTTGATTGGTTCCTTCCGTTCGTCAGTATTTACTATTTCACCTCGACAAATGATCGAAAAAACCCCAGATTTCCCCCCAAACATTTTTGCTCCCAGATTTCCTCCTGTAAGGTAAAAAACCCCTAAAACTAGGAGGAAATCCTCCAATCTGACAACTACTTTTACTAACCTCGGTTAAGCTACCGACGAGATATTGTTAAAGTCCGACATTCTTAGGAGAGTTGGCGGCGGAGAAAAATTTCGCTAACGCCCTCAGTAATGTTGCGGCCAGAGTAGAAAACAAAAGGGAAGATCGATTAAACTATAAGATAAGATTGATTAAACGCATTGGATACATTTAGCAATCCCTTGTCATTTGCATTGATCATTATATCAAGAAAATTTGTACAGCAATAGTAAAAAATTATGAAAGTAATAACAGTTTATCGTAAAGTAGAAATAAATTTGAATTAAAAAAAATAACCACACTATTTAACAAAATTAAAAGTTCATCTATTCTATCTCTTAGAGACTTTAAGATAGCGTAACTTTGTCAAAAATCGTCGTAGCAAAATGTCTAAAAAAATATTTTATAGCTTGAAATCTCTATTTTTCAAATCAATACTATAAGAAACGATCTCATTGATATATTTTATAAAGTATTACATAGATATAAATGGAAATGTATTAATTTTATTTAAAAACTTTTTAGGACTTTACAAAGTTCTACGGCGCTTTTTGCTTCAGTGTTGAATAACTCAATGAAAAGAAAAATCATAGAACGCTCAATAAAAAGCAAATTAAAGATAAAGATTTACTCTTTCCTGAAAACTGTAACTGCATTTGTGCCATTTTTAATTCGCGCTGTGGAACTTATTCGCAAAGTTCGTAAAAAGTTTTGAGATTTTATACATCTCCATTTATGTCTGTATAATTCTATCAAATATCACTAATTTTAAACATATATCTCATTGCGATGATTTTTGATGTAGTTACCCCATCTTTAAATTTGCCCATTTTTAAAGGATAGAACAGCTCATATTTAATTGACTAGTTTATAAAGTATTATAAATGTAATTATAATTAATGTTTATATTAAATAGAAACATAATAACATACTACTAATAGTAAAATTAATATGAATGAAATTAATACGAATGTAAACACGAAAAAAGAATTAAATATATATATATGTATACATGTATGTATTTATATATCATATATATAGTTTAAAATTAATTTTTTAAATAAATGTATTAGGTGTTGGAATTAATTCGTAGCGTTTTTTAATGAAAGAATGTTATTTATTTCACATGAGCATTAAAAAATACATTAATGAAAGTACTTCCCATCACTTGTAAAACGCTACGAATTAATTCCAATACCTAATATATATACTAACTTGCAAAAATACGGGTTATTAAAATTTAGTACAATTTTTTAACATCTTTCAATATAACTTAGCAAAAAATTGTATTGAGACGAATAGTAGCTCAAATTAAAATTATGAAAATTTCTCTTGATAAAGAAGAAAATCAAAATTGAGTTACAAAAATTTTTATAAAATGACAGGCATTAAGGATAAACTTTTTTATAAGATGTGGAAAACTATTTTTTTAACTATATTGCGCTACTCGGGGGAGTAAGATATTTAGTACAAAAAATTAAGTTTTTAAGTTCATTCATTTCCAAATAAATCAATATTTTAAACATTTTTCAACAATTTTAAAATAAAGTTATATTATTTTGAGAACTGCAGTGTTACAAAATGGCCTTTTTTTGGTAAAATCTATAACTCAAACACAAATTATCGTAGAAAATTTTTATGAAAAGGATAATTAAAATATAAATTTTCATAAAAAATAAGAGCATAAAAAATCACAGCACAAGTTATAGTTTGTGATATTTAATTATTATTACATTAATTAAAACATTAAACGTTTCGGCCACAATCTGGCCATCTTCAGTAATTCAATAATATTCTTAAAACGCACAGTTACATCTAGTTGACATTAAATTCAACAGTCGAGAGTTGTAATTAAATAAACGTGTTCTTTTATATGTGAAGATGCTTCATACAGTAATGTTACAACGCCAATTGTCATATCAAGAAAAGTGTAGAACAAGAATTTCCAGATTCTAATTTAAATAAAATTGTATATATTAAAATCTTCTAGTCGGAATATAAAGAAATAGAATCATTACCTGTTTTACAGTAAAAAAATCAAACGATGAATCTCGAGTATTTCTTTTACACAATTAGAATTTGTCGTGACATTATGTGTTGTTATTTGTCCTATCATATATTTTACCACTATTTATATATCTGAGTCAAAAATTTAGAAAGTTCTAGAATTGTTTATTAAAGGAAAGAGACATCCTTCTTTAAAAGAGGAAAATAAACCTCAGGCAAACCTTCCGTGTCACTTTGCTTATTGATACCACTTGTTTGTCTTTTTATATGTATCATTTCCGAAATTCTTCTTTTCACTAAAGATTGTTCTATATCTAAAATTCTTATATTATCCCAATCTAATTCATGCATCTCATTCATACGGTGACGTGAAACCACAAAAATTTCGGAAGAAGGTTTTCTTATGTCGGCCTTATGTTCTTTAATCCGAGTTTTTAATTTCCTTTTAGTTTGGCCAACATAAGACGATTCACAGTTTAAGCAATTAATTTTATAAACTACTCCGCATTGGTCATCCTTAGGCAAAGAATCCTTTCGTTTTTTTCATGAAATATAGGATGGGATAAGAATAGAATTCTATCAAATTGCCCAATAATAACTCCCCTTTTATGTTCTAACGGATGATTCGAAAAATAATTCAGATATCTCCCAGAATTGGTAGGTTTTTTATAAATATCGAAGATGATATTTCCTTCCTGTCTCATTAATTTAACATCTAGGAAATGTATGCCGTTATCATCGCCAAAGTCCACAGTAAATTTAAGCCCTTCATGATATGAGTTAAACAATTCTAGAACTCCTTCAACTTTTTCTTTGTGTATAGCTAATACAATATCGTCCACATAACGAAAATAAAAAGATGAATTAATGTTATTCTTGGTAATAATTTCTTGTTCAAAATCTTGTAAAACAATATTCGCCAGTATGGGGGACAAAGGAGAACCCTTTGTCCCCCATACTGGCATGCCAAAAATCTGTTTAAATATTTTATTATCAAAACTAAAAAATGTAGAATTAATTATAATCATAATTGCTTTGATAAATTCATGTAAAGGAATCGAAGTCTTAT